AACCTACTTTTCATTAAATTTTGCTACAACCTTTTACATTTGGAAAGTAACACATGGTTATTTAAGTATTTTGATCCTGCAGGTTAGTACTTTATAGCGCCAATGAAGTTAGTGCCAATGAAATTCAAGCACTTGAATTATAGCATATCATGGGATTGTGTTAAGTATGTTGCCAAAACTCATAAAAGCATTTTTTTAGGTCCTTCGCTTTATTTCAGAGTTCAAATCGAATAGCCACAAATTCCAACAATATCAATCTTTGAATTGTATTAATTACCAATCTCCCTTAATTTGCATGTACCCACAACATTCTCCCCTAGAAAGTGAAATACCCCCATTAGATTACAACACTATAGGGGTGTTTGGTTTACTCTTCTAGGAAATACTTCCTTTTAATATTTTGTAGGAATATTTTGATATATATACAGTTCAAAACTACAATAAATAAAGGGTAGAAATAATAATGTTTTTTTCCTCACCCTTTAAAAAAAATTATTTATAACTTTCTTTATATTAGACTTATTTAATAATTTTTTCTATTAACTTTTTTTATATTAATTTTTTATTAAATAAAAAAATTAATAACCTAACAAAATTTTAACAAAATTACATTACAAAACTTAGTAATTTTATAAACAGTACCTTCTAACTTTTTATACAGTACTTTTTTAACCACTTTCTCAGTTACAACATTTCCGAAAAAGTTGGTTTTTAACTAAATACACCCATGGTGTTTTCACAAACAAACAACCTTAATAAGACTATGGGTATTGACCACAACATTCAAGAAAGACATGGAAAGACAACCGCAAAACCAAAATTCAAATCTCCTTTTAATTATCTTGATCTGTCCATGATTAAATTAGTTCTGAATTTTTCAAGGTCTTCCTGGAGTTTTTGGGTCATGGTGATTGTTGGCTCCTGTCCCAGGATAGTCCACTGTGCTTTCCAACAATCTGCCTTCAAAGTTCCCTTCTCCCTCCCCAAGCAGCTCCTTAGTCACATCCACAGCATCCTGCAAAAGTTATAGCAATTTTGTTCAAAAAGCAATGCAAATGAAGATGAACTTATTTAAGGTGTTCAATGCTAGCTTGGCCTTCATTTGGTTGTTGGGGAAATTTTAAACTTGACACCTATCTGGGATTGGGAATAGATTTTAAAAAATTCCTTTTAAAAAATTCCAACATTTCCTATTTTAAAAAACTGATTTTTTTTTTTTTTTATCTTGCTCACTTCAAAACATATAATTGTCTATGCTAGTTTTTTTCCCCTAAAAAAAAAAAAAAAAAAAAAAGGACACATCAGGTTTGCTTTGTAGCCTAAAAACCAGAGAGAAAGAAAAGAGAGGAGACCTGACCTGAGCATATAAACTCTGGACAGAGTATGAATCTTCCATATTTGGCTTCAAGAAACTTCCTGAGGAAAAAAGGAAAAAGGAAAAATTAATGCATACCCATAATCAGATTTGCAAAAATAACCAAAAATTCAAAATCAAAATCCATTAATATTGAACCCTCTCTTTAAGTTTCCCTAACAGCTGATCCATACTTGAAATAGGTACTGCAGCACAGGGACATGGGTACAGATGAAGAAGGTAAGAGAAACCCAGAAAGAGTAGCACCAATCTAGAAAAAGTCCTCTGCTCCATACTGACCAGGATCAAGCAAAAAGGAAACGGTTTCGGTGATGGGTGAGAGAAAGCATGTGGTGATGGTGCTTTATATAGAGGAGCAATAATTTCTTGTGGAGTTTCATACGAATGAAGCCTGAACTTTCAAGTGATAAAAAGTACTTACTGCACATCATACACATACGCATCCATAAAGTCAACTTCTTCCTTCTCTTCCTTTAATGTTAATTGATGTATTGTTGGTGACTGGTGAGTTCCCACTAGCCCAACTTTATCTCCTTTTGTCGTGTTCACTCATAATATAAAATAAAAGTTATGCCTCCAAAAAAATAAAACTAACTTAGTTATTTTTTTATTAGTTTTAATTTTTAAAAGTGTAATAAATATATTATTTTATAATTAATTTATCAAAAAATATAAATATTAATTTAAATTTAATTAGTTGGTCAATAAAATTCTTCTATATGACAATAATATTAATATAAATATTAAATTTTTTTTATGTAAATTAATTAAAAAACCAACTAAACAATCCTTTTTTTATTTTTACCATGGAGGATTAGTGGGAAAGGGATTTTGTAAGTAAAGGAGGTGGAACTTGAACCCCACACCCAAGATGAGATTGATCTTCCAAAGAGTGGTGGCCAGTTGAGCTATTGGAGCTTCTCAACTTGTTTAGAGACATTGTGGAGAAAGGAAAAGTGTTTATCAATCTATAAATAAGTAAAAAAATATTTAAAATTTAAAATTACTTATTTGAATGAATTCTTTTAACAAAATAAAAAAATAACATATTCGGTAGAGGTTATTGCTATCATAAATTTGTTAAGACAACTAATTTAAGTATAATTTTATTAGTTTATAATTTTTTCTTTAAATAGTTAATTATTATATTTAAAAATATCTATTTATAAACTGATTTCAATATTAAGGGTTATTTTTTTCAATTTATATAGATAATGAACTAAAAGTGTCATGATATAAGGTGAGTGATTAAAACCGACAAACTTATTAAGATAAATGGGGTAAAAGTAGGTTTTTACCGAAGTGAAAGAGAGTCTAGCGCTTTTTACACCGATTTCAATGCCTTTGCCAATTTGCTAAATGCTTGGGTTTACAGTGGACCCTGGACTTTTTAATTATTTTAATTTTCAAATAGAGAAATAAAATATTTATTGAGTTTTGGGAAATGATCAAAATCATATTCCTTAAAATT